GTCTGTAAAGTAGGTCTCCACCCAAACCACCGTGACCTCTCCTGTGTGAGCTGTCCATCAGCACATCCCGAAGGTGCCCAGTCTCTGACGACTGACAGCGGACATGAGAGTGTCCTGTACAACCATGGCAGTCCTGACGCGCCAACAAACCCACCGATCCATAGCCTGGCAGAGACAGAGAGACGGGTAGTTTATGAAAAAAGTCTCATTCTTAAAAGAGACCACGACACAAAGAAATGGAAAGACTGACTGTTCTTAATGTGCAAGGCACATCATTGTAGCAGTCCATCGTTGGTTCCACATAAGGCACTTAAAGTCATGAAGCATCCAAAGTTTGACCCTCTCCAACTCTGCAAAAATTGGACCAATAGAAGGATGAATGAGAAAGCATCTTAAAATCCATCAGCATACGGCAACAAAAAGGGTTAAGTTGTAGGGCTGAGCCCCTCGAATATTCATTCGTTGGAGTAACTATTCGGGTTTCAATTTCGTTATTCGATATTCTTCTCTTTTTTTTTGAATTAATTGTAATCTCCAATATCAACCATAAGAGCTTGTGCCTCTTCGGGGGCGTGCTAAGACTTAACGCATAACGTTATCGTTTACTTTCTCACCGTCTTTATATGTAGATATTGACTTTTCTCCATAATCTCCATCACGTGTTTCCATATGGGCAACAACAACTTCCTGTCATTCTGCGCTAACTCTCCTTGCAAAAATAAAAGGCATGTCCATACAAAAATAGAAAGCCAAGCCCAAAAATTACACTTAAGACATAATACAACGGCAACGAAAGTAACAACACACAATGCAAATCCTTTTCTAATTTGAAGAAACACAAATTGGGTGTAATACCATTAAAAATAACTATAAACACAACAATACTATAACAAAAAGAATGCCGTGAATATAACCGAAATACACGTGTCGAAGCGGTTTGCTGCTGATTACTACGCCCCCCCCGCGCGGAACGAATATTCGCTGCTGATTACAACCGAATATCCGGATTCAGAAAAATGGTATTCGGGACAGCCCTAGCGGCTTGTGTGTGAACTTCAAATATCATGTTTTTATCATGTGTGTCACGGTTTATATGTGGCACTGTCTAAAAAGTAAAAACAGTAATAAATCGAAATGTAAAATGTTGTAATTCCAGTTAACGCTTGACAATATTGACCATAAATCATAACATCTTTACTACTAATGCTCTACTTTTGAAAGAGCTGTGGTTTAACTCAGTAACTTTTGTACACAGTGACACCTTATCGTGATGTTGGGGCTGGCAAAAGCTTTGCTGTGGTCCAGTCAAATTAAGCGAGTGGCACTGAGCAGAGGAGAGGTGCAAAAACTGGCATAGCTTTATAGAATGAATGGGTTTTTGAACACAACGTCAAACTTTATTGATACAAAGAGTATGGTCTCATCCTATATCTTGTTTGAAAGTACACCAATATACAGCCTGTACTCACTGGTTGCTGTGGTTCCACTGCACACACAGTGGCTTGCTGCGATTGGCCGTCTCCAGAAGCTTGAACTCAAGCAGGATGGGCTGGTCCAGGTGTCCGCCCACAAACGTCTGGTTGTTGAAGACAGAAACACTGACCACCGGGGAGTTCATTACCGGGTGTCTGGGAAGCCTGAGGGAGGGAGAGAGATCGCACAGTTACCGTACCGTAAGACTGAAGAAAAGTTTCATGTGCTGGTTAGGACAGTAAAAAATGGCAAATAAGGTGAGCAGAGAGGAGCAGGATGTGTACACTAAATGGGGCTTAAATGACAGTTTATTGACACCTACTGGAAACTGGACAGTGTGTTACTACTTACCGTAGTCAGTGTTGGGCAAGTTACTTCCAAAATGTAATACAGTACATATGACTTATTACTGTCTTTTTTAAGTAGTAAGTTACATTACAATATTACTGTCTCTGCAATGTAATGAGTTAGACTACTTTTATATTACTTTTTTTACTTTTTTGTTACTTTCACCAAAATAACCGCAAAAATAATGGCTAGGTATTTTAAATGCTAAAATGTAGTTTAGTGCATTTTAAAATGCTAAAATGTAGTTTAGTGCAGCAACTGTGTAGGCCCTTAAGGCTACTAACAACTAGGTTACTGAACGACCCTTCAGGCCAGGGCCGGTTCTATACATTTTGGTGCCCTAGGCAAGATTATGATTTGGTGCCCCCCCCCCTCCAAGGAATACACAATAGAGTATATAAAGAATAAATGAACAATCTCTACAAAAGATCAATACACTACAAAAACTGAAACGTATTGACATAGGTTATATACATAAAGAAGGTTTCAAATGTATTCATTATTGTATGAACATGTTTTAATTGGGGGGTGGACGACACATCCTCTAGGAGGGTCCAAGGGTATGCCCCCCCGGGAATATTTTTTTGAACATTTTAAAGTAAAATGCTTCAATCTGGTGCACTTTGAGCACACAATTACTAGAGACTATAGATCTAGGGGTACAAATCTAAACAGCCATATGAAAAAGATCGATTTACATTTTAATAACCAAATAAGTATATTATATATATTCTCATATTATGAGTAATCCAGCATGTTTCCTTCATAAGAGGATTCAGACAGCTGCTGTAATGAGATTTGTTCTGAGTGAGATTGACTCCTACCTCACACCCCGCCTGTCTGTGTGATATTTTGGAGGCAGGGCGCCGCCCAGACTGCGATAGATCAGCAGGATGACGATGGTGATGGGCGGCTCTGGCAGGGAAACGGTGCGTCTGGCTGCCGTGTATTCTCCTGTCTGATTGGCTGAGATACTGATGGAGGCCGGATCAGTGTTCTGAGGACCCGCGGCTAAAACAAAGAAGTCTGTGTTAGTATCTTTGTTTCTGTTTACACTTTCAAACCTTTCATTCTGTTTGTGCATTTGTTCTTACGCTCTTTCTCTGTGCGCTCCTTCTCCTTCCAGCTGTGTTGTTGTTGCTGTCGCTGTGGCACCAGGGCAGCAGGGGGCAGTATCACGTGCGTGTTGGGATCCCACAGGGTCTGGCCCCGGAACAGGGTGGTGTGGTAACGTGGGAAACGCCGCCGCACATGGGTCTGGTTTTCCACACGGTCCAGGTTCATGACTGACAAACAAACAGGCAGCAAGATTAGACACAATAGTAGAGTATGTCATGTTCAGAATACATAAACAGATATAATGTTATTGATCTATCATTATGAGACCTTGGTATAATTACTAGTTGAAGTGTGACGAGTTGAAATGACAGGCAGTTTATATCTAAGACTATCATTAGAAGTATGTCTCGCTGCATTAGCATCGATGTTGTAAAAAGGGCATAGAGAGCCAAAGACTTGCCTCTATTTTAAGCTAACCTCTATGGGTCTAAGGGTTTTGTTTTTGGGCCATATTATCAGATAAATTAATATCTATTATAGTACAGGACAATTCAATTGAGCACCTTAAATCAAAGATAAAACAATCTTTGATATCTAAATAGCATCTTACAAAAAATATTTTGCTGTATACTACTGACTTTAGAGCAGAATGTTTGCCATTGTCTGTCCTCATGGCGCACTAAATTACACTGCTGCCTAGACGCTACTACAGATTAACATAATGAAACGTTGTGTTTATGGTAGTATTACTAATGTCTCCAAAGAAAAGTAGTTATGATTTATTGCTGTTACTATACAATACAAAACAATTTATGGTGAAACTGAAATTGAATGTGTCGATAAACAAATGTATACTCTTTGAAGAGCAAATACAAAATCCATAAACACACACACATGAGCAAAGGAACTGTCGTATTATGGGAAATGAGGTGGCGAACAGAAAGTGCAGTCAATTTGGAGTGTTCAATAATGAGTACACACTTGACCAAGCAACAGAAGTGGAGCAGCACTCAGAGAGATCACTCAATTTAACAGACATGTTGAACGTATGTGTGTGTGTGTGTGTGTGTGTGTGTGTGTGTGTGTGTGTGTGTGTGTGTGTGTGCGCGCCTGTTGTTGTGTTAAGAGAGAGTCCTTTTTTCTGATTTCAAAAGTCTGTAATGACAGTTTTGATGGAGAAACAAATGGTTTATTAGTGAAATATAATTGAATATCCCACATTTTAATGACTGATACCAACTGGAAAAAACAAAGAAATAACTAGTTTATTGGAAGCTAACAGATGGGTGCGTGACGGTTTCATCCATGTTTTTTCTGATGTTATTTTTCATATAGCATTTGGCTGAGAGCATTTACTGCCAGCGTGTGTGTGTAGGAGTGTGAAATGTAGTGTGGGCTGTATTTATTATTCCTTCTGCTTTCACTGCTGATGCTGCTGCTAATTCTGCACCCCCTGTCTGGAGATGAGCATCAGGCTGTCAGTTTAAGATGATCTGACAGTCTTTGGCAGGGAAACAGTGAAGTAACAGAGAAATGAGAGAAACATAGGATAGAAATAAAAGCAGGCAATTTATTTTGGTAAGGTAAGTCTATTTTATATGTTGTTCAGGTCTGGGATTAACTGTGTTAGCAAACTACACTTAAATAAGCTGATGAAGAAATATCCACTAGTTTGTAACTTTGATAGGTTTCATTAGTTCTGGTTGTATGGCTTTTCCCGCGGATCCAAAGTGTGCGTGTAGCCAAGAGCATTAACGTAGCGTGAAATTCATTGTCTGGCTTCATCCCTGCCAAAGCTGCTGCTGTTGCTCTTTCAACACCTCACATTGTTGAATATGGCAAGGATTATTAAACAGTATTTCAACACATGTCGAGAGTGAGAAAAGAGGGAAACATACGTGTGACAAGATGACAGAAACTAAGTAACACAAACCTACAGATGTATAGTACAGTATAAGAGTATAGTGTGTGTGTGTTTGTGTACATTTGTGTGTGTTATATTAGTCTCTTTCCAATTGAATTGATATGATTTTATAACATTTTTCACAAGTTAAATGAGGTGTTCCAGCCTTTCATTGTGCGTGTGTGTGCATGTGTGTGTGTGATTGTGCTCGTGTCTGTGTGTTTGTATTACTCTATGTGTGTGATCGTGTGTGTTCAGCATCTGTAAATCTAAGTGATGCATGCTGGCCGTCGTTACAGAGCTTCAGGGTTTTGTGCATGTACTGGAAGATTGAGCGTCTGTGTGTGTGTGTGTGTGTGTGTGTGTGTGTGTGTGTGTGAGAGAGAGGGAGTGTGAAATCCATCTCTCTGTACTGCTGCCAGCGCTCTGCCTGTGCCATCGTAATTTGCATTAGCGCTGTTCATCTCCCGCTTTATAATGAGTAATTCTTGCTGATTTCACAGCAGTGATTTACAGTATTCTAAGAAAAGCACTGCAGATCGTCTGTAAAGATTACGATTTTATTACTGTCTTAGCCTCTTTTAGCGGCGCTGGTTAGAGATGATCTTTTGTATTATGTCTTGAGGCTCTGGCTGTGTGTGGAGTCATTCTGAACTCACCGATGTTTGGAGCAACCAGCGCCACAGGGTTGAGGTAGGTGAGCTTCATGTTCTGGGCCAGGTTCTGGGTGTACTGCTCCAGCAGCTCCGTCAGCTCCGCCGGGCCGCCCCCTGGGATGTGATTCTGACTCTGAGCGAGAGCCCGCCACAGCCCCGAGGTACCAGGACCCAACAGAACACTGCAGCCTCGCACCAGGTTCTGCAAGCAGAGGGAAGAGGAATGTTTAGTGATAGGAGAAAGGAAATGCACAAGAGTAGGTAGTGGAGATATGTTTTTCAGCAGATAAAGAGACAACAATAATATATAAGATCCAAAAAGTATACATATCAAGATGTTGGATCAGAAGGGGAAAATGGAGATAGTAGATATGAAGAAAGGGGATTTTCTTTGCAGAAACCAGCTAATACTACCCAAAGGATGCAGAAAATAAAGCTGAATAGAGGGAGTAACTTGAGTTTGAATCCGTTTCTGGTCGAGGACATAACAATCTGATGTAAGGTTCATTATCGAGCAAGGATCATGGGCAAAGAATGTGCACACAAAACCTAAAATCCAAACACGTCCTAACCCCAATTATAGCTCCGTTTTACCACAGTGATGGTGCCATTAAGGCGCAGCGTCCCCGTTTCATTTCATAAACTGGTTATATATAGTCTAGACTGCACAGCTTTTCAAAATGTTCTGAACAAACAAAAGAGTCATCTCAAAGATCAAGGGAAAGAGAGAAAGAGAGGGAAATGCTTCATGTGATTCTTTGCAGTCTGACTGTGCCAGACCCAATAAAGCACTGCAGTCTCACATGAGGCTCTGGGGAGAAGAAATACACAAGAAAACCCTCAGACCAACAATGAACACAATATAGACTGCATTATAGGAACGACGTAGTGGATTGTAGGAAGAGTCAGGAACAAGGACTGTGGGTAAGGAAGTGGCAATGAGAAGGAAAATATAAAACATATAGCTATAAAAAGAAGGTTAACGTTGGCTCAGAGATGGAAGAAAAAGAGAGAAAGGTGGCCTGGAAAACACATTGATAGTTGTGATTGGAAGGAGATGAGCAAGGAGAGTGATTGTTGAAGGTATTGGAGTATTTCTGTAACAGGAAGTTTGTGGAGAGATTCCTGCAAAAAGTCTTGCGCAACATGATTTGACTGAAGTAGTGATAGCAAATAGGATAATGACATTTGCAGTCCAGTTTCCGTTCATAATCATGAAGAGTTGAGAAAAGCATTAACTTAAATTATATTATTCAGATTGAAAATAGGACTTTCCTCAATAGAAATGTAATACAGGGTCTTAAGCTCCACACCCTGACAGTTTGTACACTGGGCAAGAGCTCAGATTGCCTGTTTTTATCTACCGAAATATAGAGTTTGAAAAACAATACAGAAGCACAGAGCTGCAGCAGATGAGAGGATTACAGGCTGAGGAGAAGCAGGGCACACAGGGCGACTGGGAGGCAGCATGACACCGGTTACAACATAGCTCTAAAAAACATGTCACATTTTGAACCAAACCATTTTTAAATCACATTCGATTTCTTAAATTGTATTTCTTTATTAATAACATTCCCATCTCTTCTGACCCTTCATTGTTGTAGATTCCCACTATGAGAAATACATTACCAACCAGTTGGGCGGTACATTGGCGTCCGAATGACAGATGTTTGATGAATATTTCATTCACATGATATGTGATTTTCTCTGCCTCATTATAAAACAAATTTGGCATATTTTTGCCGTGTACTTGATGAGACGTGAGCCCTATCTGGAGGTGTGGTACTCTCCGGATAGATCGGATCACAGCTTGACAGAGAGATTTCTTCCTCATCTCATCGCCAGGTTCCCCATGTGAAGACTCCTCTTGCCTCCCTTCCTTTGTTTCTCCTGCAGCCACGGGGCTCCGCTACCGCTACCACCGCTGGGTTACTATAGTAACTGTGTTCTACATTACCTGTTTGTCTGGCCTAAAGGCTGCTGCTTAACGTGACGTGTAAAGTATTACCAGATATATGATATCTATTTTTTATGGGTGAGAATATATGGGCTGCCTGCCGCTCCACTCCAGCGGTGCCAGGGTAAACCAGAGCCGCCTCATTAACTCAGGATGATGATATGTGGGCAGCACGTTTTACAGCCCGAGGTACAGGTTACAATGAGGCGAGTTCAGGTTCTGTTTTCTAGGAACTGCAAACTGAATATACAGTATAAATCATGACTGTACAAGTGTGGCATCATAAGGCTGCTTATATTGCTGTAGAGAAACACTCCAAATGTTAAACCCTAATGACCATATTTCTGATTTACTGTCAGGGGAAAGAGTAAAGTCAGATGTCAGGCAGGAAAAGGTTTTCATTTCACTCACTACAGCATGATGTTAATGCTGCTGCTGTGTTGCTATAGCAACTCTACTTGTTAGCCAATGTATTGATCACAAGCAGCAATACACTGTACTAGGCGTGAGGCTCTGATGCTCTCGAGTTCACCAACAAAGTACTCATGTTCATTTAAGATCGATTAGGAATGAGTGTTTATAAATAATTAGTCATCATTTAGACTTTATTTAACGAGTCAGGCTCTGACAGATGCTGTTTTTTAATAATAGGGAGTAAAGATATATGGGATGGCATCCCTTCTCTTTTATTCACAGTGTGATAACGGCAGCCAGTGTGCAACAAGTGTGTATTAAATCAGAGAAATGGGAGTGCTTTTTATTTCATTGTTCACCTCAGAGGAAAAGATGCGCTCTTGCTTTAAGTCAGTGAATGTACAGCACAGTAGATACAATGTGACAACCAGACCTTATGCCATCAACTGCAAGGAGCTTTTATTGCTTATATAGAACCACAACATAAACAGAGTGAAGGTCACTGGATCTTTTAAAGCTGGAAATATTTTTAAAATGCCCCCTAATACACAGATTGTTGTGTATTAGTGTTCAAATTTAAGTATTTTTACAAAAGCTTAACTATATTAACTAAAATGTTTTAATTTAATTACAAAACGACAGAGATGATACTAACACACCTACTCAGTTTCTATAGCAACCTGCTCTTAGCCCCAACAATGACTGTATGAATAATTTCAGCCCTGCGTTATACTGTAGTTGTCATCAGGTGGAGAAATATTTCCTGTTAGCATGCTCCCCTGGCTCAAGTGTAGAAAAATGTGAGAGCCAACGAAATGCCTTTAAACTGCCCTCAATGGCCCCGGCTGAATATGAATCACCTCTCTCTGCATAAACGTGCTGGAACTTACTCTTCAGATAAAGGTAAATAAATGATGATGTCAGGTAGTGTGAGATTACTATTCAACACTATACTTCTCATAGAAATACTGTACAAAGACCTCAGCCTTAAGAGAGAAGAGAAAGTAAAAATCTTGAATAAAAAAACAATTGATATCAGTGATGCATTTCAAACAGAGTGGCATAATACGTGTATTACACAATGTAATACTGTAAGTAACAACTATGGAAAGACTTTAACAATGTTCTTTATAAGAAGATAAGAGCCACCATTGTTGGAGGCTCTGTGTGTCTGGAGCTGCACGGAACTCAAGCATTTCTGGAAAAATGTCAATGCAACTATAAAAACCAAATGGGATATTCTGTTCCAGACATGTGTGCCGTGCTGTGCCTTGGGAACACAGAGGCCCTGTTTACCTGGCAAAAAAAGCTTATAGAGATCGGATTTATAGAGAACAAGAAAGTGGTATACAACTGAGCCTCCAGGGAAATAACAAAGATTCTATTCAATGGAAATGCCGACATACAAACTAAAATATAAAGGCGATATGTACCACAAGACCAAGGAAAAATGTCAATACGAAACTGAACGCTTACTTTTATCATGATATAACTGAGAATGTTTTGCTGTTTAGCTACGTATTGCATTGATTGATGCTCATGATGTTACTGTACGTCCAGAGCTGGAAACGCAATCAAAGTAATACTTTACCATGACTTCTAATAATTCTACTATTACTTTTATTACTACTACTGTAGATGTGTACTGTAGCAAAGTGTAACAATGTGTGTTTGAAAGACAGAAAGAAACATTTGACTAATTACATTGTCCCCACGATTTGAAATTAAATTCTCCCTCTTAATGAAAATGTTTACACTGTTGTCAGCATGTCAATTTTACTTTACTGTTTCCATAGTGATGTGCAATGTGTCAACTACTGACACACGAGGCAATAAATTGAAACCATGTGAGATTGGGGGGGGGGTTTACTTAATATTGCCAGCCACTCACTTGTGATGCATGGACATCTCATTTGTTGTCAGCTAAAGTTGATGTGTACGCTAAATATTTATAGCAAAATGATACGGAGATCTCTGTTGGCACCTTTATGTCAAAACGCTGACACGCTAAAATGATCCTCAGCTGAAGCGGCCGTATCAGGTGAAATGAGACGCTGTCAGTTAATTTGGGAAAATGACATGTTGCAGTATTTCATGAGCTACTGTCACTGCATCGCCATAGCAACATTACCTCCCATATCAGAAAAAAAAGACATCACGCTGAAGAACTCGTCAAAGCATCTGTACACGATATCAATCATATCTGCAGTTTTAAATAACAGCATGTCTTCTGGCAGACTGTCGTTGCTGGTAGCAGTATACTGTAGATAGTGGAAATCTGGTATAGTCCTTAGAATAACTTAAATAACCTATAAATCATTACATTTGTGATAGTAGAATATCAAACCCCAAAATTCTATCAAGTATTCAAGTGTGCAGATTAGCTAGTTGTTACTGTACACTTGTCTTTGTTAACAATACCAGGTAAGTCTGTTCAAACAGAGCGGATACAGCGGCAGGGAGGAGTTCATAACAAGCTAGGATTTCCATGCACTGAAATCAACTTCACAGAGTATTGGATTCACAATCACCATCCTGCCTGTCATGTTTCATAACTTGGACATTTGATGCACTTTAAAGATACTTTAAATGTACCTCTCATCAATATTTGTGGCTTGAATAGGAAAATGTTTAATTACCAACACGTCAATACAACTTCAAATGTGACCTTTAAGAAGAGTTTGCTATGGTTTAAAATCATTATTCAATGAATGTGTGCCTCCTGACAATGCTGCTTTTGGGTATTGTTTATCGGATTTCAACAGCGAGGTGAATCATAAATGCCAATTACATCCCTTGTTAATGGCAAATACTCCATATATTCCACCATATGCTACAGCAAGAAACTTAGCTTCACCACTGCCCTCACTCTTACAGAGACGTATGAACAAATGTCAGAGTGACTCACAGGGAGAAAGGAAACGCAGTGAAATTGATAATTGAATCGTGTTCCTTTTCTTACTTCATTAAAATGTGCGTCCTGAGTAGCGGTGAGTCCGAAGCCGGTCTGTTGGGTCTCAAAGGTCAGGAGGCGGGACAGCAGCCGCTCGGCGATCTGCAAGTCGTTGCCGTAGAGTCGGGTGGTTGCCTCGGTGACGTCACGGAGCTGGTGGGCCAGTTTCTTCTCCATGATGGTGTTCAGCTCCGTCTCGTTACGCTCCAGAGAATCAAGCTGAACATGCAGACACCAACAAAACAGTTAATACATCCACTCTTTAAATGTATTTAACATTGACTGGAAATGAATATGAAGATATAAATATGAAGAGCAACGGTACGGATTGTCAACAAACATCGTAGTTCATGAAGTAGCTTACACATATAAAATATCTAACCAACCCAATACAAGTAATAGAACAAGTCTCTTATCCACCTCTATCCCAGGTCTGATCTGACTTAAAGTGTGCCCCTTTCTGTGCATCCTGCTACCAAAAACATTTTGGAGATCCATAAAATAATATACAGAAAGTCCAAATGGATTGCATTTATCTTTCAGCTACATCTTAGATTAGGCCAGAATTCTGCACTTTTCACGGTCACGTGAAAATGTCCCGGACATTTTAGGACCCATTAAGACATGTGTTTAATTGTATAAGTATAATTATTAGTAGTGTAATTACTCCACATACAGCAGCATTGAGCTCCACAAATGGAGGAGAGGTGCAGTTGTAAAGGTCCGGCTCCAGCCATCCTCTCTCCGCATCACAGTGTCTGATAGCTGCACCTGTGAGGAGGCAAAACACAAAGACCTTAACAAGGACGGAATTTGTATATACATTTAAGTTCAGAACTTACACAAGGTTGCATGTGAGTATATGCATATCTAAGTGTTTAAATGCATTAGTGTGTACTGACCGACAGAGCCTTTGGGGCAGGGCACTGCGGCCGGCAGGTTGAATTTGGTCCGAGGCCACCAGATCCCCTGAGTGATGGTCTTTGGACAACCGTCGTAAATAACTGCAGAGAGAAAGAGGAAGAACAAATATTTTAAATCATTCTTATCAGTTCAATGAACTTTTAATAACATAACAAAAAGCCATTAAATATGTGGAAATGTTTTTAATTTGACTCGCAGGGAAGAAAATAATAAAAAATGAGAATGAAATACCAGCTATAAATTAAAGAAAGTAATTACAAAATGGAATGTGGAGAGTGAAGAAGCTGCACAGAAGAAAAGATACAAACAATTATCGGGGGCTTGGTAGAAAGAAAATTAATATAATCAACAGTTCTTTTGTGATTTCAGGCATGAACGAAAGTTTGGACAAAACACAAGCATATTGAAAGCCAGAATAAAAGAAGAAACTGATATCCTATTATAGACTGTAATGATATTAATTTCGGTTAAACTCCATGAAGGATTTACTCTGCATACAGACTGGTTTAAAATCCTTCTTGGAAATCATACATATTCTCTCACACGATATCGTTTTTGGTCTTACATGCCAAGGGAATATTATACTAAAGAAACAAAGAAGTATCAAATTGTTTTGGCTATTTTTGGAGAGCAACACTGACAAAACTAAAATACTTAAGCCGGCTTTGCAAACTATTGTTAAACAGCAGATTTCTTGTTCAATCCTTTGGTTATTTTTGTCAATGAACTGCATAGTAGCTTTAAGATAGTGACACATACTTAGCGAATTAGTAAAAGTGTAAAAGCAGTTGGCTGAAAAACAATTTCACAGTTCTTTTCCCCAATCGACAGATACTGTATGTCTCAGATGTGATGCTGAGCACATGGACCAAAAAATAGATACATTACTTGTTATTATTTGTTGGGTAAAACAGAGTCATTTAACATGTCTGAAACAGAAGATATAAACCTCCTCACCATCACATCCTGTCGTTGTGACCTCAGCGAAGGGGCTGTCACATGCGTTGCACTGGCGACCAATCACGCCGGGCCTGCACTGGCACTGGCCTGTCTCTGGGTCACATGACCGCGAGAAGGAACCCACCGGGTAGCAGTCACATGGCAGGCAGGTGTCAGAGCCTCGCGCACGGTAGTGAAACTCCTGAACACACACACACACACACACACACACACACACACACACACACACACACACACACACACCCACCCCGTTCTGTTTCTTATGTGTTCCCTCACGTTCCTCACTCTTGGTCTTCACTTCGGTCCCTTTGTCTCAAACACACACACTCCATCATCTTCTATCTGCCGTATGCATCTTTACACTTTCACCATGGCAACTGAAAGAGAGAGGCGTTGACAGCCTTGGCTGTTGTCAGACTCTTATAATGACACTGGCCTTGTCAAAACAATATGAGGGAGACAGAGAGAGAGAGAGGGGGGCTTGAGCCGATAAAACGAAAGATATCTGTAAATCGTGGGTGTGTCTGTACTTTTTTGTCCGTCACACTCAGGGTCCTAAAGTGTTTTTCCTAAGCTATGCCTCTCCAGCTATCTAATGTGACTCACAGCTCCATGTCTGGCTTTAGACACTTGATTGGACACAACACCAGCTTTGTTTCTCTACATTAGAACCACAATCAGAAAGAGAAACAAGAAGCATCTGTTCACTGAAACATCCATTCCACCTCTGTGTATCCAACTTTCTCTCTCAAAGAATAATAGCATTGATAATTCAGCTCAATGTGTATGTCGAGTGGTCCCTCACACTGATAGTCCACATAAACATTAACATTGTTGGTTTGTTTACTGAAATAACAGGTCTATTTTGGAGTTTACATTTCAGATATCAAGCAGAAAGTGTAGCTATGCTGACTGTAAAACTCAGGTTAAAGAGACCTGAATAAACAATGAGAGCCGATGAGTTAAAGTAAAAAAAGAAACCTTGCCTGCGTCAGTGTGCACCGAGTATTGATACACGTAGGTCAAACTTTCTTCAAATCGCATATTTCTGAAAAGCTCTCCAATGTACTATTCATATATCAGTACAGCAGAGCCAAATACCGCTACATTCTAGTTTTAATATCAAACCTGATCAATAAATACCATTCCTAAGGGAGGAGTCATTTGTCATAGAGAACCACTTCGCCCTGATTCAGCACCTTGAGGATACTGCAGGTTGAATAAAGGAAATCCAGCTTGAAACTCATAAATCTCTCCTTTTCATCCCAGAGGGTCCGAGCTCAATATGCTGCAGCTGCACACCACACCCAAACCCAACAACCTCATATAATAGACTTTCTGATAAACTCCATCTGAAGAAATATTTATGTGGCATGTGTTGTTTTCAATCACACATTTAATGTTGCAACATAAAGGAGGAAACATTGATAAATTATTTATTACTACAGTAAGAGCGGTTCCTGTTCTCAAATCCTGACCATATGTTTTCTACACGTCATTGAGTTGGTTTTTAAACAGCTCTGGGAACTCAAGCAGACATAAATTAACCTCGCTGTAATTTATCAGATTCAATTCAAATTCTTCCCTCTTGTAAATTAGCCTGTAGCAACAAGCTGAGACTGCCAATGTATTCATACACACACAGGCGCACATACTGTATGCCTACTCATAAAGGAAGATGAGGAGGACAGATGTCTCGGTGCTTTGTCATGCAGGACCTTGTCTCCGTGTGTGTCTGCACTGCATGAATCAGAGGCACTGATGAGATACCCATTGGGCAAGTTTCAGCATCAGGACAAAACACACACACATAAACACGCACATGAAAGGGAATTATTCAGAGTGCACCACTCCTTTTTTATTTTTCGCTCCCTGCCCTTATGAAACTTTGATTTGTCTCGAAACAACATTCATTGTTTAACAGTCTCCATGTTTAATGCTCATTGTGTTCATTAAAGATAATGATAATGAGAGACAGTGTTTACAGTAAATAAGTGCATGCCAATGAAGATGACTTGTGCATATGCTCTGTGTGTGTGTGTGAAGGCGTCAGTGTGTGTGAGTGCAGCCTCTCTCTGCCTGTGTTCTCCATGTTAATGAGTCAAGGTGTTAGCATTAGCTCGCGGCTACTGCAGGATGCTACAGGGATAGCAGCGCCTCTCTGCTTCCTCTGCCATGCTGTTGGGCCTGAGGCTAGCTCACGTTAACAAACTTTATCCTCCATGAAACTCTCTCACTCCCCTCTCTTTCACTCCCTTCCCCTCCGCTTTAATCTTCTGCACTCATTATCAAACTTTTCTTTCTTGGAAAACTTTCCTTTGATTTCTCTTCTTTCATCTGGAGGAAGACAATGAGATCTCTAATTAGAAGCACTATTTAGTTTGGTTAAGTTAACTTACAGAGAAGTGAAAGAATCAACTTTAGTGCTGAGGCAGTCTGTGTTCAGCTATGAAGACACCAACCTGCCACCGGTCACTATTGGCTTGAAGCCTTGCCTCACTTCACGTCTCTGTGACTTATGGGGCTGCTTGTGGATGTTAAAATAGAACCGTGTACTATTTTGCGCTCCTGTCTTTTATGGCAACAATGAGACTGGCCAATCACAGCCCATACTTGAACTAGATAGCATATTGTTTTGTTTTTAATTCAATTAAAAGTGTTTTTTGTGCCTTTTAGGAGAAAATGTCAGACAATATTTCCAAAACATTTAGTGCTTTGTCCCAATCGTTACTGTTTATACAACCATCCATGAGTAGTATATGTCTTTAGATGGCAACAGGGGAAAAGAATAAGGCACAAACACCACCAATAGAGAGTAGAGGGCATTTGTTAATTTGGTGTTAATATGTTCATAAAGCTATCTCTATGTATAATGCACTGGTTCCTCCATTGTTTTCATTGTATTGGAAGAAGAGTGGAACTAGCCTAGTAAGGATTTTGATAAAGCCTGATAAGCATGATGTATGATGATAAAGCTTTGAGGGTATAACCTGATCCCAACTGGGATACATGAATAGTGGCTGTTTATCAAAAAGCTCACCCAAATGTTGGAACGTGTTATTATGTATTGACTGGAAATGCAGAATAGCAACTGTATTGAAATATAGCATCTAGTGAACAGGCTAACAGAACATTGTTGTGCATTTGAAGTTCTCAAACTAGTCCAGATGGTAACAGCACATCTCCAGATATATCTACGGACAGATCCATGCCGAGATGAGGCTGGATGGTGGCTGCTCAGATTGATCAACATAGAGTTTAAAAAGTTGTCTGGATACTTTCTCCATTTCCTTCTATTGGTGTCGTCTTTCAAGTGGTCACTTTTTCATTATTTGCTTTCCAATCTGGGATCTTGTCTCTCTTTAATCATTAATATAGATAATCTCTTTTAATCATCTCTGCTTGGTTGGTCTGGTCTGTTTAATCAATACCAGAGAACCGAACTGCAGCTGTTGCTTCAGTAGCTGCTAATAAATCTTAAATAAACATGAAATATGGCTCTTCATCCTCTTCTTTGCCTTCACACTTCTTTCTCTATTGTGTTTGCATCTAATTTCCCCTCACTTGTATGGTATGTATGTCTCATCGTGCCTTTCTGCCAGCTGTGTGTGGGTCTATTCCCAGACGTGTCACCAGTGTTTGATTTGACTTTCTCTCGACCTCTTTCTTCTCCTTTTTTTCCTCTTGCCTCAAAACTTTTGGGGTTTATTTTACACTATTTCTGTCAGACGCCTTGTTCTCTTCATTAATCATTCAAATGTTCAGTCTTTCTGTTCTTCTTAGCCTCTTTTTCATCTCTCTGTATTTCGTTTTCCTCTTTCTCTCACCACTTTTATCTATAGAGTGTAGTGTGTCCCTCCTCTTATCCTTTTCTTCTCCACTCTTCTTCTTCTCCACATGAATTCTTCCTCATTATGTTCACCTGACTAAGGAGGTTTTGGGAGTTCGCCTGCAGTCAGTCTCTTCCTCCCGGTCTCATGTGGATGAGGCCTCATTATGCGCTCCCAAATATCTGTTTAACCCAGTTAGAGCTCTGGCAGACACCTACGCAGATATGGCAGCGCTGTAATTATTCCCTTTTCCTGTCTCTCTTAGTCTTTTGGCTTCTTTTACATACGCCTTTAACACATCAATTCTCTCACATCCATGTCCAAAATGTGTTAAATTAAATATTATAAAACATTAGGAACATTTCCCTGATGCAAAGGATAGCACACATGCAATTTAACGCGCCCGAATGAAGTGCTAAATTGTTCTTGGCTGTGTCGTTTGGCCAGATTATTTAATGTATTAATTGGCAGAGTCAATAAATGATGATAGGCAAGCGATTAATAGACAGCAAGTTGTTCCAAGTCTTAAATTCCATTGTTTTTTTGAGATACTAAAACAATCTGATCAGTCAATAATCCTTAGGTAATATAAAATAAAAAATAAATAAATATTGCAAATCCTTGCTGTTCCAATTGACTTCAGAAGCTCTCAATCATGAATTTATTATCAGAAATGAGTTTGAAGGACTTCGATTTTTTGTTGTTTAACAGTAACTAATGATCTCAGCATTTTTTAAAGTAATTTTCCACGAATGAGGAACAACAAGATTTAAGTAATTTACATATATCAATAATACAAAAATAAATGTCATTTATTTTACAACTTTCTTAAGTTAAAGTGTTTAAGCTGTCTCCTTTTTAAAAGCCCTTACACTGACATCACAACAACGGCTTGTGACATCATTCACACAGCTGCAACGGCGCTGTCCAAACAGTACAATATCACAAATGAGCTGACCAATTGGCATCCTTCCTTCTCTGCTGCTTGTATTATTATCCTTTGTATTCACATAAATGAGAATA